TTACTTTATTCACCAAATTTAAAATATTCTCAAATAGAATTTTCATCAGAAAATCTTCTTTATCTTCAAACAAATTTCTCCAATTTATTCATACAACAAGTTATGCTCTTAAATCGATTATTATCAACAACAATTAATAGTCCTAGTTGGCTTAAAAAACGTTGTGGAGATATTTTAACATCAATATTAATTCACCCAAATAATCATGGTATACGTCAAATATTTCAAACAATTTTCGATTCAACAACACCGAATGATCGTCTATATACCTCAATGTCACAAATACTTTCAACATGTCCGAAAGACATTCAACCTGAAGAATATATTCAACGTATTAAATTTCAATTAATTGAACTTATTCATGATAAACGTTATATGCCTATAATATGTATATCAATAAATCAATTATTTACAAAATATCCAAAATTAATTGAAAAGGAAATTTTCTCCAATTTATTTCAACCTTTAATCTCATGTCAAAATCCTTTAACTGAACAAATATGTACAGAAGAACAATTGAATTTATTTATAGATGATTTATATAATTTAATAAGTATAAATTCATATGAACAAATACGAATTTATTTATATGAAAATTATTTAAAAGAATTTATTAATATTTATCTTGCATTAGAACAATCATTATCAGTATTAAAAATAAAGTTTTTTAATATTTTAATAATTCTATTCTCATCGATTGATTTGGAAATATGTATTGATTATTTTGAAAAAATTTTATTTCATGTGAATTTTTTTTCATTAAAATTTCTTCCAAATGATTCATCAAATTTTAATTTAATTCTTGAAAAAACTTCGGAATATTCATTAGAAATATTTTGTCAATTAATAATTAAATTATTATTTTCTATTGAAAATAACGAAAGATTAATTGTGAAATTCTTTCTTCATTTATTACAATTATTAGTAACAGATAAAAATTTAAATCAATCATTTATTTGGACAGAAAATGAAAAACAAACAAATATAAAACAATTAAAAATTATGGAAATTTTAAAATATATTATGGAATATTTAACAGAACATATCGATATATTTATTAAAAATGTTGATGATACAATTAAAGTTATTCAGGTATAAATCAAGAATTTATTCAGAAGGAATATCCGTATAGAAACTCTACATGTTAATTATCATGTAGCAGTAATATTGATATAAATCTAATTATAATTAAAGGATAGGCTATTTAAATCTCTTATTATAAGCTAAGCTTTGATTACCCTATATTTATGAAGAAATTATAAATAGAAATGACATTTTTAAAGGAAACAGAGTTATTCAATATAGGAATATACAATTTCTATGAGCATATATAAAAATAGTTATCATAACAAAACTATTTTTAAGATATGATAGAGTACACCTATATTAAATATCCATTTATCTTAACTGATTTTACTTTTATCTACATCAGAAATAATTTCTAATTTAAAATTA